GGGGGGGGGGGGGGGGGGGTATCTCCACATCCTTCCCTGGAAGTTGGGGACCTCAGAGCAGGGGACCAAGATAGAGACCATGTCACCAGGAGCAGCTGCATTTGGCTACACGGCTTCTCTCTGGCACATTCCATCTCTGCTGTCCTCTGTCAGGGCCAGCCCTTCGCTGCCAGGGCCAGGCTGGCCCATGGCGACAGCTCAGCAGCCAAGGGAGACGTGGGTCTGCACTGCTGAGCTGGCCAAGCACAGGGTGGTGCACATGGTGGTTCCCTTTCCCTGGGAACACCCAGCGGCCCCTCTCCCAAATCCGCCCTGGGAACAAACCTGGGCAACACCCAGCCGCGTCGGGGCTCCTGCTGTATGCTTTCTGACGGTCGGGGAGGCCTCACAGCTCAGAGGAGTGAGGTAAATTGGATGTTGGGACACAAACAGGACCCTCAAGCTCAGCAGTGAAGCCGCTTTGTGGGTGACACATGGTTTGTGAGTTTAGACACCTGCTCTGCCTACCTCGTGACAACAGTATTCTGGTCAATCCTTGCTCTGAGATCTTCGTTCTGCTGCTGGAGAACTTGGATTTTCTCCTCCAGGATAATGTTCTTTTCCGCCTGGAAAGGGTGCAGTGTTAGGAGGCCCCTGGCAGGGCTGTCTGACAGGAAGGAGACCAGTGCCCTGGAGGGTTATCAAGAAGCGTGTTTTGCAAACTACAGTGTGTAGTGCACTGGTGGCTTGTAAAATTAGGTTAGAGGGATGTGGTCAGCATTTGTTGAAAACAGAATAAAGCAGAAGAGAAAATACCAGAATGTGCTGTATTTAGTAAAAGTAAGTATAGTTATATGTATTTTAGATATATTGTTTTATTTCACATATATTATGCACGTGTGTGTATGTATATACTGGAATCCTGTGTAGAATATATTTTTATAGTGAGTGTCCCCAGGCCGTTGCCATTGTTAGAGATATGCCGTGATCAGCACCAGGACCTAGTCTGGCTAACGGGTCCCATGGGCCTCCCTGTACTGCATTACCCCCCCTTGCTGGGTGCACCCTATGACATTCTAAATGAATGGAGAGATGGAAACATGGACACATTTTCCCTTCTGAGACTATGGGCAGCCAGGAATGCAAAGCACAAGACCATCTTGGCACATTCTCAGAAAAATCACAGCACCCAGGGCTGTTACTGCTCCACAGTTTAGACCCTTCTCTCTGTCAGAGGGTCTCACAGGGCCCGAGACCTCGCTGAAGTACAGTTCCATTCTAATATGAAGTTTAAAGTAAATTATTTTTGAAAAGAATGTGACAAATTCTATATTAGTGTAGTTAATCTTTAAGGAAAACGTTCACCTCTCCAAGAATAAGGGTTAGGAATCAGAGCCAAAGAATGGTCCTCTGTCTCTGCTCTTCATCAAGACACTCTCACCCAGCCCTCCACTTTGCTCTAAGGAAGTGGGACGTGATTAAATCAGTAGCCCCCACCCCATACACACAACTGCTTCTGGAATGAGAAGTCATGAATGCCTGCAGAAAGCCTAAAACATGGCAAAAACAGCCACATCAGCCTCTAGGCTTGTCCGTGATTGAACAACTGGATGCAGATGGCCCAGCCTGGAGGAGGAGGGTTGCTATCCTCATGTTGGTTGGACTACAGGCAGGACCAGGAGGGAAGGGCTCTGTCCCTGAGCTCCCAGTGGTCTTAGCTGTTGTCTTGCTGGGAAGCTCTGGGCTGCCGAGGGCTGCTGAATGGTGCCACGTGGCCACATGTGCCCCAACCGGAAATCGAACCATGACTCCAGATTAATAGTTCGGCACTCAACCACTGAGCCACGATGGCCAGGGCTGTCTAATCATTTTCTATAATGCACATATTTTCCTTTTATAGTATCAAAAGTTTGTTTTACATATAACAATTTATAAAAAGAAATAAAAGGAATAAAACATAAGAATTTATCTGAGAGCCTTGGGTCAAGTTCCAGTCAGGATGGTATCTCCTTGGAAACTGGCTTCTCTGCTACTAACTTTGGACAATCATCTCCTCGAGCCCTGGCGTGGCCCTTGTGCCTAAAGGTAGAGAATGAACTTTGGGGTGCTCTGTTCCCCCAAAGGGGCGCCCTTTGCTGGTTCTGTGGAAGCCAGGCTGAAAGGTGAGGCCGAGAGTGGTGAGAGCGCTGGGCTGGGGCTCCCTTCCACCTGGGCGTAGCCACTGATTGGCTTTAGTGAGGTGCCCTGTCCCAGGCCCCCATCTCTAACTTGTGAAAGGAGGCTCCCAGCACCTCCTTCACAGCCCTGCTGTCAGAACAAAGGCATGGAGAGTGCTCTGCGTGGTGCCTGGCACACGTCAGTGATGCTCATCTGTGCTGGCTGATCACACGTCCGCCAGGGAGGAGTGAGGAAAGCACTTCAGAGGGATGGGGCGGGGATGGAGGCTGCAGAGTTGTACAAAATGAGGCCACCTCTGAGACCCCTGGCTACCTAGGAAAGGCCTTGGGACTCAAGGATAGAATTCTCCACTCAGGTGGTAGCAATGGGTTCAGGGCTCGCGTCCTGAACGGTGTCAGTGTTGACATCAACGATGACAGTAAGGTTGCTAGGCTCTCCCCAGGAAATAGACCAACTCACCAGCTTTTCCAGCTCAATAATCTTCTTTTCCTGCTGATGTATTTGCTGATTCTTCATCTCTAACACCTGCTTCAAACTCTTCATGTCTTCTTCCAAGTGCTGATAGGGAGCCAGTGCAACCTATAGGGGCAGAGAGCAACAAGCTATCTTCCCGGTCCTGGCAAAGGCCACTGCTCACCACAGTCATGGATTTCACTAAAGCTAGTCTTCTTTAACCAGCTGCCCAGTAGGCACTGGAGCATCAGCTCACACAGCCCTCCCTGGTAGAGATGCCCACTGGTGTCCCACTGGGAATGCGACTAAAAGTCCAGCTCCCTGGGGAAAAGAAGAGAGAAAGCCATCACCACTGGAGAGTGTGGGGGCTGGAATGGCCGGATGCTACCAGCCCATCCCCAGAGGGAGCTGGTGCGGTGAAAGGAGTCAGTTTGACACTGGCTTTGGACAGTCACTCAGACCACTTGGTTCAGCAGGTGGCGGGGATTTCCAGGTGCCAGCTGTGCCCTTGGAGAGCCCCAGCCCAGCATAGAAACAGAGCAAAGTGGTTTTAAAAGCAGAAAAGGCATTAAAAAAAAAGAAATGTTAGAGTGAGGTTGCCAGATGTAACAACAACAACAAAAAACCCATAGTAAAGTGGGTTAAACTTGAATTTCAGATAAACAACATTATATTTAGTATAAGTATTGAAAGGGACATCCTTATACTAACTTCTCTGTAATGCAGGTTTAACTGGGTGTGATGTGCTGCATATGGCAACTGTACACCAGAGGGGAGGAACTGTGCCAGCTCTTCTGGCAAAAACTCGCTCAACCTACTCACTCGGGCCTCAGTGGAGCCTCCCCGTGCCAGCCTAAGGGAGCTGGAGAGGACAATGGCGAGGTGGTCCTGGCCGGGCCACGCTTGTCCCAGGAGCTCAGGCACAGTGGCGGGAGCCGTGTGCCGTGTGGCAGGAGTAACATTTAGATGGAGAAACCCCCGCTGTCCTGTCTGAGAGGTGCTGACAGGAATATGTGTAAGATCCGGGAGGGCCTGACCAGCTGTCGCTTTGGTAGCAGATTCGCACAGAGGCCCTGTCATCGGGGTGACTGCTGAGGAAGCCACAGGGCTTCCCGGGGAGAAGTCCACAGAGCCCCGCTGAGCCCCGCGGTGCTGGAGGCCTGGGAAACTCGACACCTCCAGCTGCTCTTCAGTGTTTTTCTGCAAAGCCTCCTCGAAGCGTCTGGCTCGGTCCCGCAGAGACTGGCTCTGGAAGGTCAGCGTGTCCACCTGGTCCTGCAGGAATGACACAAGGAGTCCAGCTCGGTCCTCTGCGGACACTGCAGCCCGGGGAGCCGTGATGACGGCCTGTGCACACGCCAAGGGCATCAAGCTGAGGCAGGTGCTCAACATGGTGTGACAGACCTCCCGCGTCAGCCTCGCTCGCGTTCCAGCTGGGGCTCTCGCTGCCCCACCCCATTTTACAGCCCAGCTCTCCCACTGGCTCCATCGGCCAGCTCCCTCTCCTTCCAGGATCACTTCTGGCTCCTCTTGGCCTCCCTGGGCCTCAGGACTGGGGTGCAGGTCCCTGATGTGAGCTGAGGCTGTCCCGCCTTTTTAGACTATCTGTCCCCTCAGTTTAGACCTTCTGTTTAGACCAGTGATGGCAAACCTTTTGAGCTTGGCGTGTCAGCATTTTGAAAAATCCTAACTTAACTCTGGTGCCGTGTCACATATAGAAATTTTTTGATATTTGCAACCATAGCAAAACAAAGACTTATATTTTTGATATTTATTTTATATATTTAAATGCCATTTAACAAAGAAAAGTCAACCAAAAAAATGAGTTCGCGTGTCACCTCTGACACGCGTGTCATAGGTTCGCCATCACTGGTTTAGACCATGCTCCTGGCCCCCAGCACACACCAGCCACAAGGCAGCCCTCCGTGTGCCGGCTGAAGGAAGGTGTGTCTGAGGGGGCACCACACCCCTTCCCTGGCTCACCCCTCCCTGGCAACCCTAGCAAGGACTGATCATCAAAGTTCTCTGCCCAATGACACAATTTCTGTAACATTAGAACCTACGGAATTCCAATGAACTCTTCTCTCAAGAGAAATGGCCTCATTCCAGCCGACACAAGGAGCAAGGTATTGTAAATTATGGAATTGTACAGACTAACACTGTAATGTATGAAGTGCCTGGCTTGACTGCTTTCTTCATCATGGCAGACAACCCTGTTTGGCAAACCAGCCTTGGTTTTTTCTTGTCCTCTTTTTTTGTTTCTTTGTTTCCAGTTACTTCCATTTCATCTTAAATAACAAAAGCCCCCACAGTGCCATTAAAAGCCAAGGCTGGGTATTAGGGCAATGCGGTCGTCAGTGGGAGTCTGCACCCACAGGCCCCGGCGACGTAGGCAGTGGTGCTCTGGAACCTGACTACCACACCCCGGTGCCTCCCCAGGCCGCGGCACCAGCTGTGTCAGGGCCGTTAGAGGTCGAGTTTCTTTCAAGCCTCTCCTCCTCCATCAAAAAGCAGAACAGCAAAAGCGCATCAGGCAAATACCACCTAGGATGGACCTCAAATATCAAACTGGTGTTTCTGCCGCATTCACCATGACTCAACACCAATCCCCAGGCCCACGCGGTGCGCAGCAGTCACACGGCACAGGCTGCTTCCAATTGGATTGGCTCCTGTATGTCAAGGATGAGGCCCAGCACCGCCCCTTAGGAGCTAACCAACGGCATGATAACAATAGTGAGGGTAATAAAAATAAATATAACAAATAATATTAGCCACTATCAGAACAGCAAGAGCTGCTGCTTATTAGCATTTGCCGGGAGCCAACCCGGTGCTGCACACTTTACACACGTCACTCCTCGCGGAAGGAACTGTCAGCACCGTTTCACAGACGAGTAACCAAGGCTCCCGGAGCTCACATATTGCCCAAGGTTTCAAAGCTAGTAAGAGGGGGCGCCGTGGGATTTAAGCCCGAGTTCAAATCTCTTACCACAAGCCTGCTGCTCTAGCTGCCAGTCCCTGGAGACAGTTGGCTCTAGCAGCTCCACCCTCCTTGTACCAAATAACCTCCCGCCCAAATGGTTCTGTCTGCTACAGGGTGTTGCCCGTGGGATGGCAGGGGCGGAATGAAGACTCACTCACGGGGGAAACAAGACCTTCTCTGCGGTTTGGGGCTGGTGGGTCTCTGTTACACCACAGTCTGGCTTTCCCTTTCCGGGCGTGCATTCCTGAGGACAGCGCACCTGATGCTGCGAGAGGGATGCATGAGGAAGGCAGTTTGGGATAAATTTGCTGAGGATGAGCCCGTGAGGACTGCGTGTTGCAGGCCCATTGATGGGAGGGTGGTGGGCTTACTGCAGACTGTTTCCTGTTTAGAAAACATGGAACAGCACACTCAGTAGTGTGACATTGGTGTCACAAGCATGGGTGCTTGCGTAGGCAGGGCCGCCTCTGTGTGATGCATGCTGCCAGGGGAGAGTCAGCCGTCAGAGGCAACACTCCTGGCTTTGTGTTAGTTATGGTAATCAGTGCGTATTTGTTGTTATTGTCATCACAATGTCCAGGTGTGAGTGTCCCCAATATTAAAAATTAGCCTTGCTCTGATTGAGATGCCCACAGCTGGGAACGGAAGCACCCTAGCTTCCCAGGCAGCTCCTCCCTGGGGCTGTGGGTGGCCATCATCTTTCCACAGAGCAGCTGGCAGGGTCTCTGGAAGGAGGAAGGGGGTGCAGGTGAGCTGGGGCCCCTTCAGAAGGAAGCCAGGCTGCTCCCTGGCATGAGACCCGCATGTCGTGTAGGTTGGCAGTGGAGGCAGGGAAGGTTCTTTCCGTCTCACCCACCTCCAGGTGATGGAAGTCCTTTGTTTTAATCCCAGACATGTCCTATGGCTTCTGCCCTTCGCAGGCCTCCTGACACCACTCCCTGCCTAGCATGCGCTTCTCCCAAGTCCCTTTCCTCACACACAGCGCGGTGACTCCTCTGACCACAGCAAGTGTGGCTCAACCTTGGATCTCCGTGGCACTCATTGACGGTATTATTCCCTTGGTGCAAGGATGTGCTACCTTTTGTGGGTGTCTGTCACTCTTTCTGCCACCACCCTCTGAGTAGACAATAAATTCCTTAGGACAGGGGAACGTCTTTTCTCCCTCTATATCCCAAATGTTTGTGGACAGGACTAACGATGCTGCCATTAGCTTGACTTCAGGGTTAAGGAGATACTAACCTGTAATGACAGCCGCAGCTTTTCAAAACTGTCTTCTAATTCTTTCTTTTCAAGCTCATGGGTAGACATCAATTCTGGAGAGAAGACATCAGATTGTTAAGTTAGCTTTTCATCTGAAAAGGATCAAACAAGACTCTTGCCAGACTAAATGAGAAACGGGTGAATAGCAGACGCTGGTATACAGCAGACTTGAGCCTAAAGAGACTTCTCCATTACTTTGGAATTGTAGGCGGTGTTATTTAGAAGAGAAATAAAGAGGGAGGGAATAGGAGAAAGGGAGAGAAAAGGGGGGGGAGTAAATAGAGCGTGCACACACACTCATTTCTATACCCGCTCTCCCACCATCCGGACAAGTCAGCTCCTCCATCCACTTGGTTGATTCTCCAAGTTTTCCTAATGGGAAAGCAACTGGGTGATCAATGTTCAGTCTCCATCTCCTTCCCCTCCCAGGGCCACTCTTTCTTTCCACCACAAAGCAGCCATCTGGGCCGCAGGAGGGAGCTTTCAGAGAGCTGAGCTGTGAGCAGCCTCCGTGCTGCCTGGGCTCGCTGGAGAGCGACGGGTGAACAGGGCGAGCGCTGTGTCTGTGAGGCCTTATGGGAAAGCAACTGGGTGATCAATGTTCAGTCTCCATCTCCTTCCCCTCCCAGGGCCACTCTTTCTTTCCACCACAAAGCAGCCATCTGGGCCGCAGGAGGGAGCTTTCAGAGAGCTGAGCTGTGAGCAGCCTCCGTGCTGCCTGGGCTCGCTGGAGAGCGACGGGTGAACAGGGCGAGCGCTGTGTCCATGAGGCCTGAGCCACACTCTGAAAACCACAGATCTCTAGGGTTTGCTTGAGCAAAGAGTCGCTGTGAAGACATTCAGACAGAAGGGAGGACTAATTGGATTGGTTCCTCTTGGAGAGTTTGGAACCATTCTCTTCTAAGCAAAGTGTCATTCCAGTAATAATTTGCAAGTGAGGCAGAAAGAGATGTCATGTAAGACTTATTAAACAAGTGGATTCTCTTTTCCTCCAGATGGGAACAGTCTTAAAAGTGTCATTCCAGTAATAATTTGCAAGTGAGGCAGAAGAGATGTCATGTAAGACTTATTAAACAAATGGATTCTCTTTTCCTCCAGATGGGAACAGTCTTATTAACTGGGTGAAGCCCATCTCATTCTGGCTACACAAGCAATTTGTTTGCATGTTATAACTGGAGGGAGGAGAGGTCTCATTAATCAGCCTGGGTCACACAGGCTTCGGACAGGAGAGTACTAGAGACCAACAATTATCATTCTGGCTGGCCAGAGCTGCAATTAGGAAAAGCTTTTGGTTTCCATTGATCCAAATCGTTGGAACTAATAGTGGAGAAGGTCTCTAAGAAATCTAGTTGTTATAACTCAAATTTACATTTGGAAAAAATTAATTTGTGCTGATTGAATTAAGATAAAGCCATGTGTCTTTCTGTCAATGATTGGTTTTAATAGCCATTGAGCACATTGTCCTGACCATAATAACGAATGTTTTTGCTACTATTATATGTATTATATATAATGCAAAGGCCTTTGATGCGGCATCTAAGCAAGGCTTTGCTAGTGAGAAAAATCTGCCAGGTCTATTTTATGAAAATCCAGCAACAAAAGTCAACAGTGTGGCTCACTGCATCATTTCCACTCGCATTCCCACTCAGAGACTGTTTTTCTACAGCGCAGTGATGGGCTTTAGGACATTCAGATGACCCCAATACCCCAAGAAAGAGGCAGGCCGTACCTATCCTGGACATGGTATCACCATGCCTGACAACTATGTACCCATAACATACTTAATTATTTTGAGGTCATAACACTCTGCCCCACACCCAACACTGTGCTCTAAGACAATGGTTCTCAAAATGTGCTGCATATTAGAATCACCTGGGGAGCTTTAAAAAGCCCTGATGCCTGGGCTGCACCCAAGAGCAATTAAAGTGGAATTTCTGAGGTGGGATTTACTCATCAGTGTTGTTTTTTTTTAACTCCCAGGTGGTCCCAATGGGCAGCCCAGGGTGGGAGCTGGCACATGTGCTGTTTCTGCCCCAGACGTCTTTGCTGCCAACATTTTTCTGTACAGCTAATTGGCTATAAGGCTTCTTTTCTGTAAACAGATAAAATAACTGGTTGGTAGTTTGGGGTTTGGGATGTTGTTCAGTTTCATTTCTCCACTGATGATTCTGTTTCTCCCATCTTCATATTCTATGTAAATGTTAGCGAGCCCTCATAACGGTCTATGTAGGGACGAGTGGACACGTGGTGGTACTCTTAAAACAGTTAGCATTTCTTCCAGGTGAGATGACCCGTCCAAGAGTCGGTTTATTATTTTGGAACAGTGCATTGGGAGGAGAAAGGGAGGCCCAGTGCCCTCTTGAATTCTCCTAGAAGAAGACAAGTCCTTAGGTTACATCTACAAAATAAAATCAGTTATTTGAGCAGCATTGCTATGAATCTATACATATTTTAAATGAAGGCTTACTTTTGTTATTCCTTTTTTATGTTTCATTAGGTCATTTTTAATGTCCCTCTATTTGTAGTGATTTTATCTTTTTTATCGCAAAATTGCCTTGGAAAGGTGTGTCCACCGAGACTGCTGTTTAATTGTGTGAGGCCCAGACAGGCCCGGGGTTTCCACGCCTACGTGACACCGGTGGTTCTTAAGCACGACTCCCCGTCAGACTCCTCCCAGGAGCTTTATAAAATCTTGATGCCCAGCTGCACCCCAGACCAGCTGCCTGGGGGCCCGAAGTGGACCTAGACGGGCACCAGCCTCCAATCACAGCGCCCAGGGATTCCAACATCCAGGCAAGGTTGAGAGTAACTGCCGCGGAGGAAAGAAGTGCTACCTGGATCCTGGTTTTGCATCTTTCCTTTCCACAGCAAGCAACACAGAGAACACGCCAGGAACAAAAGGAAGGAAGAAAGGAAAGTGGGACAAGCAAGCAGGAGGTGCTCCTTGTGTCTGCAGCAGGAGGCTGGGCTCCCATGGCCCACCCTGCCGGCCACACACATCTAGGATAGTAGCTACCTTGGACTTTGTGGTCGTGGTCATCCTGCAGGATCGCGATGGCCACCGTGTGGTTATTTTCCATCTCTAGGAGAGCAGCCTCGTGGCTGGCGGTGATATCTTCTACCTGCGGGAGCATCACAGTGACCGTTATTCGGGACGGACGGGTGGCAGTGATATCCTCACTGCCTGGAGAACAGTGATGGAACTCACAGAATAGAAAGGTCAGTGGTCCAAAACGCAAGGAAAAGTCATTCTGCTGTGGTGACAGCCACCCTCATCCTGTGTGGAGGCAGGGGAGCCAGGATTTGGTGGGGATATGGCAGCCCCTGGAGGTACGCTATCTGCAGGAGGGTGGAGGCTCCTGTGGGAATGGCTGCTTGAGCCCCCTCTTTACCATCTGGGGCCCGGCTTTGGACCATCCACTGCCCACTCCCATTCCTTCCCCTCCCACCGATCACTCTGGTGATGATGACTCAGGAAAAGAAGAGGGACCTCCCTTCTAGATGGTCTGTTCTGTGTTCCAGCGGCAGGTGGGAGCCACAGTGCACAAGGTACATGGAGGGAACTGACACTTACTAAGCTACCTGCTACCAGCTACTGGGCTTACCCCTCCTAGCACATTGTAAAGGAAACACTTATGTCCATCTTATAGGAAACTGAGGCTTAGAGAGTTTGAAACATTTTGCCCAAGGCCCAGTAAGGGGCAGAGCCAGCAGTCGGCCCATGTCTGTCTGACTTCACAGGCGAATCTCCATCAAACACACCGCTGCTGCCTTCCCAGCAAGAGCAGCAACGAGTGCCCGAGGAGCCTCTCACCAAGGCCAAGGCAGCCGAGTCCTAGCCATCAGCTTGCAATCTGGGCCTCCCGTCCAGCACTGCGAGGCTGCGGTCATTTCCAGGACTTTAATCACGAGGAGCACAGCTAGCCTAGGATTTCTCATTTCCACTCTTCCTGATCTCCGCCCCGCCCCCCACCATCACCACATGTACTGTTTTTGTTATTTTGTTGTTGTGCTGTTGTTTTTAACTTCAAATGTATGACTTACAGGAGTAATTGCCTAAAACGGCCTCTCCCCACGCTAGCAAACCGGAAGTGTTTTTCCAAATTCTTTGTCAGCCACCATTGCAAAAAATACTATTGTACATTGTAACATAGCGCACATGCACAAACCAAAGTGTCAAAAAACAATACTTTCCCCTCCTACTTGCAATAATCTGTTTTTTAAATTTTTATCTACTAATGTGTCAAAACCTAGTGTTTGAGGAACACTGAAGCAGGAAGTGTGCCCAGGTCCTGAAGCTCCGTGGTGGACCAGTTAAACATACTGCTTCTAGCTGGTACTATTCAGCCACCGCCTAGGGTCCTTTGTTCCTCAGGAGACAATTCACAGGCCGACCTTTGATCTGAAAGGAGAAAGGGCTCTCCACAGGAAAGGAAGCCCATGTGTGGAGTGGATGCATGGGAGTATTTTTATTTTAAAATGGGGTAGATTTTCACTTCACGTACTATAATTGCATGGGAAAATTTGCCTGACTTTTTTCTCCTAAGGTAAAAGAGAACTTCATCCATGAAAACAGAAATGTCACTGGCAAAACCAACAATGAACTCCACAGTGTTAGGATAGCTGCATCACATTTTTCAAATGAACATGATATGCAATGATTCACTTTTATTTACTGGCCATCCTTTTTTTTATTTTTAAAAATGTTTTTATTGATTTCAGAGAGGAAGGGAGAGGGAGACAGAAACATCAATGATGAGAGAGAATCATTGATTGGCTGCCTCCTGCATGCCTCCTACCGGGGATTAAGCCCACAACGCAGGCATGTGCCCTGACTGGGAATGGAACCGTGACCTCCTGGTTCATAGGTCGATACTCAACCACTGAGCTATACCAGCCAAGCTTACAGGCCATTCTTGAGGAAACAATGTTTTACTTAAGGCTCAGACCTATGACTCCATTAATCAGAAAAGCTGATTACCACAGTACATAATTGTCCAATTCCTTTTTATATGAGGTTTTCATAGAATCTTCATCCAAGGCATTTCAGTCTCTTGAAAAAATAAATCACTGGTTAAAAAAAATACAAGTATATATTTTTTTCTGCTTCCCTACTGTATCAGTTGAGCCGAGGTCACCCTGTCTGCAGACATAGGTCCCCACACATTATTTGGATGCTTGTTACCCAGTTCAGTTTGAGGAAAAATCTTTGATCAGTGTTTGGTGTGATTCTATTTTATTGGCTCTGACACAAATTACCATATTCCAGAAGAGTCCCCTGTGTCCCTGGCGGAGAAGATGCCCTGTCAGGCAATATGACATTATGTCTGAAGCTGAACGTCGCCCTTCTGGTTTGTTGGGAGGCAGGTCTTTGATTTAATGGTGACTCAATCCCATGCTCAATATAGGAAGCCTGATGTATGGGCATGGTCTCTCTGTTACAGCCCCTCACAGGTGCTTTTATGAGTGAAATACGGATCCCCTAACTCTGAAAGGCCATATGCAACAAGAGGAAACCAATATGAACCAATGAGCCAAGATTTGGGCATAAGAATCCTTGCTCTTCAGTAAAGTTCCTATACATCTTTATGTTTTTTGAAGACTGTTCCCTCTGTGGGGAGGGAGCTGTTCACTATCGGCCATCCTCTTCTTGTCAGAGTATTAATCCCCATGACTGCTCCTCCCCTCCCGGGCTCCTGGCTTCTTCCCAGGGCATGGCCTCACACTCCGAAGCAGCCAGTGAGATTTCAGCCCGAGGACACCCTGAAACCCGCTGCAGGCGTTTGAAGGGATTCAGACAAGTTGACGGAAGGGAAACATCAGATCATTTGATTCATTGTCAGTCCACGGCAGGCTTAGGCAGGAGGAAGCATCCTTCTCTTGGGGCCTTAAGCCACTGCTGGACCATCCTTCCTTCTCCAGGAAGACGGAGCTCGGGGCTGCGCACGGAGGAGGAGTCTGGCTGTGCCCTCCACTAGTCCTGGTGGTGCGGAGAAGCAGCTGTTCTGTGGCAGGCTCCATTCCGCAGGGGCTTGCAGTTCTGCTGGGCTGAGCAACAGCACAGCAAAGGGTTGGAGAACCACCCTCTGGGTAAGATACAGCTGTGGGCTTCCTTACTCAGCCATTTGCAACATACAACTATCTGAGGCTTTGGCCATTCCCTGAGAGACAACTTACATTTAGAATGAAGATGCATGTGCTTTGTATCATCTCAGCCTTACTCATTAAACCCAAATCAGATTAACTTCCCATCTACTTCCATCCCAGACACGGATCCCTGTCTGGTGGGACAGAGGGGGCTGCCCATGTTCACTCTCCCCAGGGTTCTCTTACGGACTTTCCTTCCCTTCGGTGCCTGCTTACATAGCCTGGGTAGCTGCTTACTCAGAGTGGGCAGCCAGCCATCCCAGAGCGCCCAGTCCCACTCCATCCCATTCCAGAATGTGCCTTCTGCCCCCACTGCAGCCCACACGTGAGCAGGAGTTCAGGAGGCCCCCACCTTCCCACAGCGCCTCCTCCCACGGTACTGGGACTCTGGGCTGTGCTGGGCGGGGCTCTGGAGCTGGAAGACTGAGGGTCCCTGGAACCTCCTTCTGTTTGAGGGCCTGTGGCTTCTGCTGGTGGCAGCTGTGCGCCTGTCACGCAGGAGGACTAAGGAGATGTAATGCCAGAGGATGAACCAAGTGGCCTCTGTATGTTCTCATGAAGTGCAGGATGCGGAGGCTGCCAGCTAGTCTGAAAGGGTGCTTTCCTTCAGAAAGGGAGAAAGGACGTCCTGAATCCGAGACAAAGCAACGTAAAGGCCAAGGAGGAGCACTGCTTCCCCCGGAGGGGAAGGCACCTCTGCTCAGACTTCATTGAGCAGAGTCCACAGTGACTTCAGGGCCAGGTCAGGGAGGAGGACAAAAGGCCACAGGGTCTTGGAGGAATGGGGTCAAAGGTCACATAATTGACCATTGAATGTGAGGCTCTGTGGCTGAGCATCTTCGGGAAACAGTAGACAGCCCAGAGAGGACAACTGGAAGGCACTGTGTTTGGGCAAAAGGGGACAAGCCTGTGTGTTTTCAGTGAAAATCCGTTTTGTGTGCTTCAAGGTGGGGGGCTCTGGCAGTTTGGCTTCTATTCATGCGGAGCTAGCTATGGCACACGTGCTGATTTTGATTAAACACCTTATGGTCATTTTGAAATAAAAATCAGGCCCGATCTTTATCGGCACTTAAGGAAGCCTGGGGGCCTGTGTCTGGGGACACTGCATTTCAGGTAGGCTGACGAACAACCCGACCCACCAGCCATTCTGATGCAGTTACCGTGGGGTGGGGATGAGGAGGGTGTTTTGCCACACGTTCCCCAGTGACTCCCATGTGCGGGCAGAGGTGAGCGGACGGCTGCATTTGTCAGAGGGAGACCCTGCAGCAGTCAGAGGTGCACGTGTCTCAGCGCACGAGCTCCCAGTCTGAGCGAAGCCGCAGGAGCTCCTGCGCTGCTGGTGTGGGGCGCTGGGCGGCCAGAGGCCAGGTTGGTTGACTGTTAAGCTGGTGGAGCACAACTGCGGACAGATGTCACTACCCATAGGGTCAGCATTGCCAAATGCAAATTGTCCCCAATAAAGAAGCCTGAGGGTGGGTAGTCCGAGCTGGAGAGCTGAAACAGCAGACCTCACAACTCTCCATCGCAGCTGTGCACTGAGTTTCCTGCACAGAGCGAATGCAGATTCTACTGCATGAGAACCAGCGACGTCCCTGCCTCGCCTCCCTCACTGCCTGTACTCTCTCTGCTGGCGGAGGGGGGGGGGCGGTGAAGGGCTGTGGTCAGGCTGGCTGCCCATGCTCCGCAGCAGGGGCCAAGTCAGGCCCGAAGGACTCACAGATTTCAAGCATCCAACCCCCAGCCAGTGGGTGTCTGCAGGCAGGTTTACCCAGACCTACAGCACTCGGGTGTTAGTTCTAACAGAAAATGTTCCCTATCCTCACAGCTGGAAGTAAACTCTCAATTCCTAAACACGTCTCTGCTGCTCACCCAGGATCAGTTCCCTCAGAACTTCCCTGGCCATTGCCTGAGGCATGGATCAAGCACGCCCACAGTTTATAAATCTGGGCGTCTCTGGCAGGACCCTGACGTGTGCCTGGTGTGCAGTGGGCACTCCAGATGTTCTTGGCCTAAGTGAATGGGTAACTAGATGAATCGCTTTAGTGAATAAGGATCAAGAAGAACGGAACTCAGAGGCCTCATAAGGTAAAGCCCTTTTTAAATGCTCACAGGTAGCATCTGCAACTCATTCTCAATGTCAGGGCCTTCTTTCCCTCAATACTGCCCAACAAGAAATCTCCAAAATGCTGCTGTGTCCCAGCTTAAAGGCGAGGTGAGGGCTCATCTCCCCACTGTGCTTCTGCTCACAGGACGCTGAGGGGCGCTCTGCCCGCGCCAAGTCCCAACGGTGGACAGGCTCTGCCCGGCAGTGGCCTCAGCTGCGTGGTTTCCAGACACAGCACTGAAAAGGAGCTTTCACTCCGAGGGCCCCTCGAAGCACCCTTTCCTGCATGGCAGCCACCTCCTGCCCTCCCTCCCACCTCTTGGCACCTTCTCAGCCAACCCTGGACTTTGGATCAGAAGTCTCTTAGTGGACACAGGTATAAACACGTTCTCTGTGCAAAACTGGGAGCAAATGGCCCAGGGATACAGAGGCTCAGAACCGCTACTTGCAGCGGGTTGGGGATGTATCCAAGGGACATGCTAACGCTGCAGACAGCTCAGGGACAAACGTCTGCTTACAGAGGTTATGCTCTGCGAGCTCAGGAGGCAAGATGCTGGAGACCTGGTTCTAACATTAGCACCAGTGGTAACTTTAGCTGTAACCTATTCTGTTTCCTGGTCTGTAAGTCTAAACAACCTTAAGCAGGCAGGTGTGTCTGGTTTCCACAGAAAAGATGCTGAATGGAATAAAATGTGTCAAATGGGAGATTTTTAATGACAACAATAGTGCTTATTATTACTCTGGAATTCTCCCTGTGCCCATTAGGCTCACAAGCCTCTGGGGACCGTCACCGTCCAGGGTGTCTACTTGGAAGCAGTGGGAGGGGGGCAGCCTGAGACTTAGCGTGCTCTTTGCAAATGCCATTAGCAGACCACAAGAAACAATGTACCACTTAGAAGGCGGGTATTAAGGCAACAGAGCTTTGGGGACTTAGAAAGAAGAGAAAAGAATGGAGCAGAACTGGTTCTCATGGAAGCAGAGTCTCCGGTCAGCACCCACAGTGATGGACAAGGAGGCTCCCGCTCCTACCTGCTGCGCCTGACAGGCTCCCTGGGAACCATTCTCTACTCATTCCAGATGAATCGCTCTCTCTGGGAAGACCGCTGGGCCAGCTAGCGGCATTCATGCTTTTATTTGGCAAGTTCAAACCTATGACCTACTCTGTGCAGGCACATTCAGGTACCAAAATTCTAGCAGTAAGCCTGGCAGATAATTCTCTCTTGGTGCTTGAGAGGGTGGCCACAGAGTGTCTAGAGGGAGAACTTTCTAGGCAGGAAGGAGGAGCACGCTTGGCAGAACAAGGAGAGGGAGGCCAGAATGGCAGGAGGGGAGGAAAGGAGGCAACGGAAGGAAGAAACGAAATCAGAGAGGGAACTTTACAAGTAGCTCACCTACGGACAGGACTCCGGCTCAAGTAGCATGGCTCCCCCTCCACCTTCCACCTGCACATCCCAACAGCAGAGACAGAGCGCAGCACAAACACATACCTGCTCTTGGTGCTGACACCGGATCCGCAGCAGCTGGGCGCTGTGCTCCTCCTGAAGGCGCGTCATCTCCGCCTGGAACTGCAGCTGCAGCCGCCCCTGTAGGTCCTGGAGCTCGGCCTGCTGCTGCCAGCCCAGCTTCCTCACCTCGTCCTCAAACCGCCTCTCCAGCTCTTCCTTCTCCTTCTGTAGTTTCTCACACCTGGCTGTGTTGAAGGCTGGGGACAGAACAGCATCTTTGTAAAAATTGGAGAAGAGGCACCAGAAGGTTTCAGCATCCACGGTAGAGCATCAAGGTTAGTGTCACAACCGGGGCAAGACCGTCTTGCTTTGGAAGAGCCTCACAGTCTGTAAAGGGCTTTCCCATCTACTGCACTGCAGGTGTGGGGAAGCCCAAGGTCACCTGCTGTGGATAGAAAGGGCTGTGGAGGCAAACTTGGGCTTTCTGACTGCCAGCCCCATGGTCCTGCCACTAGAGCAGGGCTCCTCTGAGGGCCCACGGAACGTGGGCATCAACATCATTGGGGTTTTGTCCGGCAGGACTCTCCCAGGCACACCGTGGGTGGGTCAGGGACCCTGGGGAAGCAGCCCAGGACCTAAACGTTTCATAAGGTCCTCGGTGGGCGACTCCTCTGCCCCTCAGGGCTCCAGAGACCTGTGCATTCCTGGGAGCTGAGACGGGACAGGAGAAGCACCAGGTTAAAGGCTGTGCTCCCCAGGCTGAAATGCTGAACTGGACATTCACAGAGGAAGTTCGGGTCTCCATTCAGGGGCCCGAGGCTGCACAGTAACCAGCAATACCCCCTTGCATAGGATGCCTCCCGGTCCCCATCCTGGTGCGCTTCCCAGGCCGCCAGCAGAGGACAAGCCAATGACAGCAGCCACTGATCACCGATTCTTCCCATCTGTGCCTCCCCTGGGCTGTGGGCAAGAGCAGACTGCTTTCATTTGCAAGATCTCTTTCTCAGCTGCAAACTGCTTCCACGAGGAGAAAAGCACCTCGTCTGTGCCTCCCCTGGGCTGTGGGCAAGAGCAGACTGCGATCATTTGCAAGATCTCTTTCTCAGCTGCAAACTGCACCTCTGCAATCTACTATGTTTAGGTCAAGGGGTGCTGATTTTCACTCGTATGGCACAGACGTCCAGGTGCAGGCACAGGTCATTACGGCCCACAAGGACGGTGCTGCTGTGCTCGCCTCCTGTGCGCATGCGCAGACATGGCCACTTCAAAATCGAGTGAGCAGGTGTACGGGCTGGTTCGTGACAACCTGCACTCCAGGGGTGCTTGGCTATGGTCAGACATATACGTCCACGGTAGTTAGGCTTTGAAACACCCTGATCAGAAGTCCCGCCTTAAGGATGAGCTAATTCAAGGGCTACTTGGCCACATTTGGCACTAAAAGAGTTTGTTATTCAGCACGCGGGATGCTTCAAAGTATTTTTCCCCTGATGAAATGAGTGTGGGTTGATGGATAGGCACCTTGCCCATGGACAGTGCAGCAGCGTAACACTGCCCCCAGTGGTCTTTTTAATCAATTGCCCCAGTGTCCCATGCCCCACCTTTGTGTGGGGGAATCTGATCCACATCTGAAGTTGTGAGCAGGATCTGCCACTGTAACCAGGGTGAACCGAGGGGCGGGTGCTGGGTGCTGCTTCCCCCGGGGGTAGGCAGTAAGCGGAAGCACTCTTGCGGAGAATTTCAAAGCCATAATCACCGACTTGAACTGCCACCTCCTGTCAGCAATTCTAAAGACTGTTGGTGAAAAATACTTCTCAGAATAGTCCTTTGTTGGTCTGCATCTTAAACAATTGCTACAATTACCGTTGAGGTTTTTAACAATAATTTTCATATTTTAAAAAGATCACAGAGAAAACTTGAAAGTATGGCCCGAGGACATACTTGTACAAATAACCTTCCCTCCCTCCTCCCTCCCCCCGAAGTATTTTTCCCCTGATGAAATGAGTGTGGGTTGATGGATAGGCACCTTGCCCGTGTGGACAGTGCAGCAGCGTAACACTGCCCCCAGTGGTCTTTTTGGTCAATTGCCCCAGTGTCCCATGCCCCACCCTTGTGTGGGGGAATCTGATCCACTTCCTGTGAAGTTGTGAGCAGGATCTGCCACTGTAACCAGGGTGAACCGAGGGGCAGGTGCTGGGTGCTGCTTCCCCCGGGGGTAGGCAGTAAGCGGAGGCACTGTTGCGGAGAATTTCAAAGCCATAATCACCGACTTGAATTGCCACCTCGTGTCAGCAATTCTAAAGACTGTTGGTGAAAAATACTCCTCAGAACAGTCCTTTGTTGGTCTGCATCCTAAACAATTGCTACAATTACCGTTGAGGTTTTTAACAATAATTTTCATATTTTAAAAAGATCACAGAGAAAACTTGAAAGTATGGCCCGAGGACAAACTTGTACAAATAACCTCCCCTCCCCCCACCCCCAATCATTTGAGAATAATATGCTTGACCTGCCACCAACCCCAAATTCCTTAGTATATATTCCCTTCCAACAAGGACCTTCTCCATGATCATAATTCAGTCGTCAAAGTCAGGGAGTCAACATCGATCCAATAGCGCCACCGATGCTCAGGCCCACTGTTGGTCCTAATAATGTCCTTTCCATGAAAAGTCCTGAACCAAGTCCTGTCTCCTTGCTCTCCGTTTGTCTAGGACAGCCCTCAGCCTTTCCTTGGCGTTCAGGTCCTAGACACCTTTAAAGGAGACAGGCCAGCTGTTCCCCAGAAAGCCTCTCATTCGGTGCGTCTGATGTTCCCTCCTTAGATCCAGGTCCTGCATGTTTGGCAGAAATGTCAAAGAAGTGATGTTGTGTGTACTCTTTTCATTTGAATGTTGATGCATTTTTTTTATGTTTTTAAATGTTATTTTATTGTTTAAGGTATTACAAATAGTAGTACATATGTTAATATGTTAATGCGTTTTTAATTGTTTACGTAGATTCAGGAAAATCACGCTTAGTATAATCATCATCATTGCAGGATTATACTGGAAATGATTTTGTGGTAGAGAGGAGGGAGTGTTACAAGAGGTCTGGCCTGGGTTTCAAATATGTTAAATATTATATAGATATTATTGTCACATGCCTGAGGTGAGGGGCAGATTGCTGGGAGTACACTGGGCTTCCCACCACAAGCAGTATAACAGCATCTTGCTGGCTTACTAATAAATAGGGACGTGATTAGCAGAGTCGGGCTGAGGCTTTCGATACCTGGTAGTGTGGTCATTGTGGGGGTCAGCATCCTCCTCTACCTCTGACCACTGGAGGCTACAGTCCCTATGAAAAGAACCCACAGGCCAAAGTGGCTCAGGCCTGGTGGCAGGGGTGTGGGATGCCAGGGCAGGTTTCTGGGTGTCTGGGCCTCTTCGGAGGGCGCTTTTGTTTTTGTAACCCATGTTAACTGACTTCATAGTGTTCCCCCACCCCACCCCATGTAATGTATCATGCCATGGGCAATGGGATCAAAATAAAGCAATGACAACAATATGTCTTCTTGTGTTTAAAATAGGTCTGCAATGCAGTGCCCTGAGAGGAGACACACATGGCCAGGAAACACGAGAACAGATGGTTAGCACCATTCATGATAAAATACATGCAAACTGAAGCAATACATTTTTTAAATCTAAAAGACCAATAAAAATGAAATATTCTTGTAATATAGGAAGGGTCTGAGGAAACTGACATTCAGTGGACTATTGGTGGGAACACAGTCGATAAGCTGCTTTGAGGGCACAATATCTTTAAAAATGTCGATGATAGAATTGGTGTCCTGGCCAGTGTGGCTGAGGGTTAGAGCATCGACCCACACACCAGAGGATCTCAGGTTTGATTTCCGGTCAAGGGTACGTTCCTGGGTTGCCGGTTTGATTACCGGACCTCAGGGTGCATGTGGAAGGCAATCAAACCAATTGATGTGTCTCTCTAACCTCTCTCTCTCTACTCCCTCCTTCCCTCCCTCCCTTTCACTCTCTCTAAAAATCAATGGAGAAAATATCCTCAGGTGAGAATTAACAACAACAACAACAAATAAAAATAAATGGTAGGATTTGTAGTCTTAGGGAATGACAACTAAACAGTATGGGATTTCTTTTTGGGGGGTGATGAAAATGTTTCAGAATAGATTGTAATGACAGTTGCAGAACTCTGCGAATACACTAAGAACCATTGAGTTGTACATTTTAAATGGGTAAATTGTATATAGTACATGAATTATATCTTACAGTTTTTTTACAAAAAATGAAAATTTAAAAAATAACATGACAAAAAAATGACTTAGAGCAGTGGTTCTCAACCTTCTGGCCCTTTAAATACAGTTCCTCATCTTGTGACCCAACCATAAAATTATTTTCGTTGCTACTTCATAACTGTAATGTTGCTACTGTTATGAATCGTAATGTAAATATCTGATATGCAGGATGGTCTTAGGTGACCCCTGTGAAAGGGTTGTTCGACTGCCAAAGGGGTCGCGACCCACAGGTTGAGAACAGCTGACTTAGAGGATAAATTTAGATTTTTTTTAGAGAAGGAAAACTCATCTTATTATTTAAAACTCTACACAACAGTGGTAAAAATATATGATGACAAAATAAAACAAAAATGAAAACTTTATCACTATGCTGTTTCACACACACACACACACACACACACACGGATATAGGCAGAATCTAATGGAACCTAAGATGGAATAAAACAGATAAAAAGATTATAAAATGAATAAAAATAAATAAGTTATAATGAAAAAAATAACATGAAGGTTTTAACACAAGTGCACACAAGAACATTTGGTCAAGAGTTACTACAATGTGATTTGCCGTAGGGAACTATTGGAAAGTTAGTTAAATAAATGATAATGAATCCAATATACAGGAGTGGGCAAAAGTAGGTTTATAGTTGTAATACAAATAAATAATAATACAAGAATAAACTCTGTGCTTCACATACTCACAAATGTAACCCCACCTTATACATATAGAACAAATCCTATACATAATGGGCTATAGGCAACCAGTAAAAAAATAAGGTAAAAATTTTTTTGTGATATAATGGAATGATTTCTGTAATACATTATTAAACAGAAAAGGCAAGGTACAGAAATAGTATGCTTCCATAGTTCTATTTGTAATGGAAATGTATTTATCTTTCTGTCTCTCCTCCCTCAGGAGCTTGTGTGCCCAAGTTACAGGACTCATTGCCCAGTGGACACCTGCAAATATATATATTTAACAACATTCTATTGTTGGTTTACATGCTTTATGAGTAAAAACCATTTTTCACATTACTACCATAATTAAAAAGAGAAGGGGTTTGAAAAGGTTATAATATCTGGAGGTCAGAGATGCCCTGACTCTTCTCTATCTCCTGCGATTTTAGTTATGTCAGTGGCAGGATGATTCATGGGCCTGGCTCCCGATTTGGGGGCTGGGAGGCTATTGGTTTTCATCCTCGAGCTGCCCCTGAATGTGCTGCTGCCTTAAATAAATCAGGAGCAGTAGAGGCCTGTTTCGCTGTCTGTAAATTGGCAAAGTAATCCCCCCCTT